AAATGAAAATATGCGGGGGGACCTGCATCACACATAGATCAGGGGCGCCATAGCCGTTTCACCGCCCGTGTTTTACAGCGCCCTGGACAGGGCCTTTAGTAACAAATCTTAGCGTATCGTGTTACTGGCGAGCACGTCTCCGATCAGTGCTATTATATTTAATTTGGCTTAAAATTCGTTTCTTCGTTCTCGTGACTTCGTACGTTAAAAATACGATAGGTTACTTGATGAATATAAAAAATTGACGCACGGAACATATTATAACGCTTTTTTGACCAAGTTACAGCAGTTGTTTAGCCGTTTACACAATATAAGCCAGTTTTATCGGCCTTAATGTGAAAAATCTGTTTATAACTAATTTCTGAACTCTTTTGTAGAATGAATAATAACCGAATTGGCTGCTTTGCATGCCATCTTTTCAAAAATCTGAAACCTTATACTATCATACTGAGTAAAATCTTTACTGGCATCGATTGGTTTAAGGTGTCACCAAATGGTTCCACGCGCTAATCACCTCAAAAGCAATCTGGGAACGAGATTAATGATGTGTTCGACCATCAATGATGTGCTCGACCGTCGACGGTTTCGAAATTTGCCTCGCCGGCGCCACTGAGTTGGCGACGTTCCATTATGGACAGCAATCGTTTTAGTCCTATCATTTCTTGGGTTTTTAAAAGAAATTCATGAAGAATTTAGGCTGTCAAGAGCGAATAAATCACTTTTGTATTTGCATGGGTATTGTTGTTGTAGTTCGTCGAACTATTATTATTAAGGATGGAAATAGAACGAATAGGACTGCTATTAATACTGTAATAATATATTTCTGGCAACAGCTCGAAAGACTTTAATTTAATTAACTTAAAGCGAGTGTTATTTGCCTTGAAATATAGACAGAGTTGCCGTTGGCTAATTTAAAATTACTCATTCACAGCTGAAAGTCGCCGTCTAAAGAATCGATACTATATTCTATAATACCTTTGCATGCAAAATTCAAGCGATTTTAGCGTAAAAACACAATAGCCTACATTAACCACAAGTTCTTCAAACAAACTCGTTTAAGAGCCGTCCGCGAATAAGCGTGGCAGTTGGGTACGAAACAATCTTTCACAAAGTTAGAAACTATGAAAATAGCAGAAATTTTATGTTTTATTTTTGCCCAAATTTCTTTGCTAACGGATATAAACAAAACGTTATACAAAGAGCGCTAGCTTAAAGACATAAGTACATGGCAAAAATTGACGGAAGAGGTTTCAAAATGTATTACAATTTACAATACAGCCTACAGCCCCACTGTCCCAGCATCTTAACGCTCAACGGGGCGTCTTGTTAATGTATTTAATCTGTTACTAGTTTGGTTAGAGATTTATTATGAAAGACTCGTTCTTACCAGGCAAATGACGATTAATTGATATCACAAAGCGATGAATTCCAAAAAATATACCAACAATTCCTGTTCTGATAATAAACTATACATATCACCAAGCAGTAATGTAGGTTCACCATAACAATCACGGTACTTTATACTCAAACATAAACTTTAGTGAAGTTACCAAAGTCTGAACAGTTGTATGACGAAGCTAAGTGCGTTGTATTTATTTTTTGCAATAATTTACATTATGCTTTGAAGCGAGACCAATTTCTGAAAGAAGCTCAGTGGGAGTTCCGATCAGTGGTGTAGTCCTGGAATGTTAACAAGGGGGGCTCTCCAAAAGTGTCACGAATTGGCGGGGGGGGGGGGACAATACGATATTTTGGAAATTCTAAATTTTGTTGGGGTTTTTTCTAGTAATTGTGAAAAAACATTCAAAATTATTCTCATTAAAAACAATTGCCGTTTCCACAATTGCTATATAACACTCTTATATTTATTAACTGTAACATATCTTGAAATATCTTCGGGAAAGCTCTTTTAATTTAATAGCTGCTGTAGCCTCTATATAAAATCAACAAAACTGAAAACACTCAAGTGAAAATGCTCTGGGCAGAGTTTAAATCAGACAAAACAGGATCGGTACTTCAACAGCCAACTTGCTACGGCGCATGAACAATGCGATTATGTAAAGTCAGTAAAGATTACAAAAATCATTATCGATCGTATTAAATAATGACTGAAAATGAAATGCAAATCTAAAGAAAATTCTCGTTTGTTGTTAAGATTATGCAACATGCAAAAAATATACGGGGGGGGGGGGAGGGCTCAGCCCCCAAGTCAACATGAAATTTTAACAAGGAGGCTCAGCCACCTGGGAGGGGGCCTCCACACTACACCACTGGTTCCGATCATGTGTTGTGCCCATTAGCATGACATCCGCTGCGTTTATTTGCAGTATGTGAAGGTGAACTACACACGTAAAACTGCACAAGTTGTACCAAACCTGCAGCAGACTTGTAGCATGCAATGCTGTTCCAACTTGTCACCAGCATGTGTTCGCACTGCTTGTTCCCAGCTTGTTGACAATTTGTCAACGGCTTGTTAACAACTTGCTACAATGTTGTGGATCTCAACGGACTTGCTACAAATTGTTCCAACAATTTGTTATCGTCCTGCAGTTCAAAAATTTGTCAACAATTAAGTTGTGAGTGACAACCTTGTAGCAACTTGATAAGATAATAGCATTGCTACAACTTGTTGACTAGCTTGCTACAAGCCGGTTGCGAACGTATCTTGTTGCCAAGTTGTGAGATTTTTACGTGTGTACCATTGAACTATAAGTAAACTGGGACGATAACTCCCATGATAAAGGCCTAGTTTGGGTGAAGCCAAATTTTCGCCGTTCAAGTACAGCCTGTTCGCAGGTGTGTATACGAATAAACTGAATAAATTTTTACGAATTTAATACTCAATTTTAACTTATTAATTAAAGTACGTTTCTGGATGTTCGAACATCCATTATCAATTGCATATAATATTTTTCTACATAAATTGAAAAACTTGTCTCTGAACTCTTTCTGGAAAGTCTAAAAACTCAGAAAAACCATAAATTTTCGCGCGGTTTTTTGTCGAGTTTCGTTTTGTTCGTGTCATATTTCGGCAGTTAAACAATATTTGCTTATTTTATGCATGTGCCTTAGATAAAAGTTGTGTTGTCTAAATGTGCTCTAGGATAAATAACAATGCCTTGAAAGAAGTAAAAGTGAGAAAATATTAACGATTTTTAAGCTGTATTTTTCGCATCCATTTTGTAAAAAAAAGACTGGGGCTAACTGCAGAAAACACTCATGGCCGGCTTCAAAGAACGTGGCCAACTTATCGTCGTATGTCATTTTTTGTAAAAATACCTGATTAAATGTTTAATAAAATAGGCTTTGTTTGTGGAAACACCACGTAAATTTATTACTGCAAAGCTTTCGATCCGTAAGCCCGGACCTTCATCAGTGCTAATAATATGTGACTTAATAGGTTTTGTTTGTGGAAACACCACGTAAATTTATTACTGCAAAGCTTTCGATCCGTAAGCCCGGATCTTCATCAGTGCTAATAATATGATAATAATATAATAATATAATATTAATAATAATATAATATTATATTTTATCACCATGCAAACATACAAAGAACTTAATATGTGACTTGTTTAATTCACACGCTCTTTTTATATACAAAAGTGTCGTGATCTGTTGGCTCGCGTCATTTGAAATTTAATTAAACGGCACATCAACCACGTCATTCCAAACGTAGTGAAGTGATTCCAATTGACGCGCGCGCATCCAAGACAAGAGAAATTAATTTTGCACATTAAAGAGAGCACGCCACGTACTATCTAGTGGCTTTCCCTCTTGATCTATAGTATTGTGCTTCTCAATTTCAATTGACTCTCTCATTTTGCGAGAGATCTTGTGACTATCAATCGCCAAAATGGTTGCTTCGTCCCATTTTATACGATGGTCGTAAGTCCAAGTATGTTTAGCCACAGCAGATTTATCTTGCTCGGCTTTCCCGCAATTCGTCTTGTGTTCCTTAAGACGTACTGAGAGATTTCGACCAGTTTCACCAATGTAAACCAGACCACATTCACAAGGAATGCGGTACACACCAGGTTTCTGAGATTCATTTACATTGTCCCTATGTGTGCAAAGAGCTCGAAACAATTTGTTTTCGTTGGAATGGTATACCTTTATTTATTTATTTATTTATTTATTTATTAATTTATTAAACTTTGCCAAAAACACTTAACAGAACAGCAAATAGACATCTAGACAATAAACATGGACAAAAATGGCAGGGACACCACAACAGTGTAAACCAATTACTGTGGGCCCAATACAAAAATACACATAACTACAGAATATATAACATACAGTATATGGACAGGAGATTAAAAACAACAAGTTAGTTCAGAACGTAAGTAACGACTAGTGTTACACTTCAGACAAATAGTCTTCCATGTCCTCGGATCTTCATCGTCGAAGCATTCTCTCAGGGCTGTCAGGTAGTAAGTTTGTAAATCGGTTTTGAATTGCCTAATATTAATGTCAGGAGATCTTAGTGTAGTTGGTAAAGAGTTCCAAGTTCTGGATGCACGAATAAAGAAGGAGAGGCATCGGCCGGACGGAAGGAGATTTGGTTGCCACTGGAGGATCTGGTCGTTCTGGTTTGGGACATGACTTCGGGGAGGACGTCATGAGACACGTTGACCAAGCCGTTCACCGCTTTAAAAAAGAACACGAGATCCAAGTATTCATGCCAGTAAGATAGCGGTAAGAGGCCCAAACTGGCAAGTCGTTCCCGATAAGTCTCACTGCACAAGTACGGAAGGTTTAAAATGTACTTCGTGGCTCTTCTTTGGACCCGTTCCATACGTTGGATGAGGGTCACGGTTTGAGGCGACCAAACCTGGCTCGAGTAACCAAAAACCGACCGAGCCAAAGACAGATACAGAGTTCGGCGGGTACTCACGTCGCTTATTTCCCCCAGAACATCGCTTTATAAATCCAAGGAGTTTGTTGGCCCGGGTACACCGGTCTAAAATGTGTTTAGACCAGGTTAGATCGCTCGCAATTCAAATTCCCAGATCGTTCTCTGCTGGTAAAAGTGCAAGTTCTTTGCCTTTGATGCTATATAGATGATGGATTGGTTGACTACGTCTGGTAATGCTAATACTTTTGCATTTTCCTTCGTTAAACACGAGACCGCTTGACGTGGACCAGGATTGAAGGTTATTGATATCGTCCTGGAGTAACATAGCATCGGTGATGGAGTCAATTCTACGGAAGATTTTGGTGTCGTCTGCAAAACACGCAACTGTCGAGTTCGTCACAGCGTCTGGTAAGTCATTCACATACAGGAGGAAGAGTATTGGTCCTAAGATACTGCCTTGCGGAACACCGGAGCACACTGGTTTTTTGGAAGAAGTAGCGCCAAGAGTTGTGACGCGCTGTTGGCGGTCATGTAGATACGATGTGAACCATTGGAGAAGAGATCCGCCAATGTTATACTGTTGGAGTTTGTTTATCAGAGCTGTATGGCTGACCTTGTCAAAAGCCTTTGACATGTCCATGAAGATTATATCGGTTTGTTTACCAGAGTCTAAAATGGATCCAATGTAGTGCAAAACTTCGACTAGCTGGGTTGTGCATGACCTTCGAGGAATGAAACCATGTTGAGCGGAGTTAATCAGGGACATCAGATAATCTCTCAGATTTCTCAGCACACAGCGCTCGAGGACTTTGGATGTTACACACAGATGCGAAATTGGACGGTAGTTTTCAACGTTGGAGATGTCACCTTTTTTATGGATAGGGATGATGTTCGCGAGCTTCCATTCCTCTGGTAAGGAGCCATGTCGGAGTGATTGATTAAACAGTAGACATAATGACGGAGCAATTTGGTGAGCACATTCCTTTAGTATTCTTGGTGGTATTTTATCCGGACCTGTGGCTTTGTTGGTATCGAGGTTGAGGAGTGCAGCTAGAACATCATCAGGAGAAAGAATTAACTCTGACAAGTTGCTATCAGTTGGCAAGGATGGATTGTCCGTTTGAGTTGTTTTGTCGCTTCCAGACACAATGGAGGAGAAGTAGTCGTTGAACAGTTCTGCTATGTCGCGAGGACATGAAGCTGAGCGGACCGAGTCAGGATATAATCAATTTGATCCCATTGTCATTGATCCTGGAACACTGGCACGTTTACTGTTGATTTTAAAGACAGACCAGAATCTTTTGGGATTATTGAAGAGGGCTTCGCTGATGTTCTGGAAGAACTGACAACGACTTTCATTGATCAATCGTTTAACCTTGAATCGTAAGGCCTTGAACTTGTTTCTCAGTACGTCCGTTGGCGATGTTTTCAGTTTCCGACGCACGGTCTCCTTTTTCCTGATAGCGTGGATTATCTCACCGTTGATCCAAGGCGGATTATTGACGTTGCTGATGGTTTTTATCGGAATACTGTCGCGTACAACACTGAGAAATAGTTCTTTCCATTTTAACCAACCGTGGTTAATGTCCACTGCTGACTCGACTGCACCGCAAAGGTCAACCGACTCTAGAGTTGCACGAAGTCCGTCGAAGTTCCCTCGGTTATAATCAAAGACAGATCCGGTTTATACCTGCTTCATTCCTCAAAATTCTTTCGATTTTGTGTGAAGCTGGGCCAATGTATCGTAGACAAACAGACGACTGATACTCAATCTTCTGCTGTATACTTTGTGGCGTTTTCATAGCATTATCTATGAAATGCCGTGGGTAACCATTCGTTTTTAGAACATTTCTTAAATGTTCTAATTCATTGTCAACGTTATTTACCTCACAAATTGTTTTCGCTCGGTTGACGAGTGTCTTACACACAGAGTTTTTGATACAAGGATGATGAAATGAATTATAATGCAGATACCTGTCTGTATGTGTTGGTTTCCTATAAACCTTATGTCCTAACGACCCATCATCATGTTTAGTGAAAAGAACATCTAAGAAAGGTATAGTTTTATCATCCTTCTGTACTTCAAAAGTAAACTTGATCGATGGATGCAAACTATTAATGTGGTCTAGAAACTTTTGTAGATTATCTAGTCCATGAGACCAGCTATTCAATGTATCATCCACGTATCTGAACCAGAAACCAGGTTTCAACTTTGCAGTAGCTAAGGCCTTCTTTTCAAATTCCTCCATGAACAAATAACCTATTATATTTTATCACCATGCAAACATACAAAGAACTTATTACAGACCTCTATGGAGAGTGTATACATTCAGCGTTTAAAAGACTTGATCGGCTTACCAATCAACGTTCAAGATTGATTAACAACCTCGCCTTTCTGAAAAGGTGTCGAGACAACAAGGTTGTTCCAAAAGGATTACGCATCTCAACGCAATATCATACTAAGTATGCGCGAAAGATCTTGATGAAAGCCGAGTTGGCATTAGTAAGAGAACGAATTGCTTGGACTCGTGGACAGTTATGCAGAGTGGATGAACGTATTTTATCTCTGAATGAAGAATTGTGGATGACTTTAAATGAAGAACACTATGCAACAGCTAAAAGAATGATCTCTGCGTCTTCTACGAAAACTTTCAACAAAGCACGTTCCACTCAGATTGCCAAATTCACAAAATTGACGTCCTTTGGTCGGACGCATCGCAGACAAGAAGATTTGGCCAGTCATCCACTACAGCGCACCGTTATCAATATGAGTGCTAGAAGACTTACGCCGGTTGAAGAAGATGTCTTGACTCTTGGATGAAATTTCGCTGTGGTACCCCGTGTTCTACCTAAAGAAGAATTTGTACAACGTTTGGAACCGAAGTTATACCACATGACGAACGATGCAGCTAGTAACATCCGCGTCCAAATCACTGAGGTTCTACGACGTGCAACGCTTCCAGCTTCGAATTTAACCAAGAATAAGAAGGATGCATTGAGAAACTTAAGAGCAGATAAGTCAATACATATTTTAAAGGCTGATAAGGGTAACGCTACGGTTATTTTAGATCGTCTAGGATATGATAATAAAATCTTGGCTCTTTTAAGCACTTCAACTTATAAAGAGCTTAAAAGAGACCCTACAGCTAACATTGAACGTAAAATATGTTCCAAACTATCTGGTTTTAAAAAGGCAGGTATTTTGTCTCAAACACTTCATAATTGTTTGAGACCTTCAGCTACTGTTTGTCCAAAATTTTATGGTTTGCCTAAGATACATAAACCTAATGTCCCACTAAGACCTATTGTAGCGTCCATAGGTTCGCCAACGTATGCTCTGGCTAAATATCTCGCTGAGATATTGAAACCAGTTGTTGGAAAAACAGAACATCATGTAGTAAATTCTAAAGAATTTGTAACAAAAATGGAACAAATTAGATTGGGTAAGAATGACATTCTGGTAAGTTTTGACGTAGTTAGCTTGTTCATTAATGTTCCAGTTGAAGAGGCTTGTAATATCGCGAAAGAAAGACTTCTTTCAGATATTACTTTATCTCAAAGAACTAATCTTTCTCCTGAGAATGTTCATGATTTGTTGAAACTATGTTTGACCACGACATGTTTTCAATGGCGGGAGAAATTCTATGAACAAACAAACGGCGCTCCAATGGGAAGTACATTGTCGCCTGTTATGGCTAATTTGTTCATGGAGGAATTTGAAAAGAAGGCCTTAGCTACTGCAAAGTTGAAACCTGGTTTCTGGTTCAGATATGTGGATGATACATTGAGTAGCTGGTCTCATGGACTAGATAATCTACAAAAGTTTCTAGACCACATTAATAGTTTGCATCCATCGATCAAGTTTACTTTTGAAGTACAGAAGGATGATAAAACTATACCTTTCTTAGATGGGTCGTTAGGACATAAGGATTATAGGAAACCAACACATACAGACAGGTATCTGCATTATAATTCATTTCATCATCCTTGTATCAAAAACTCTGTCTGTAAGACACTCGTCAACCGAGCGAAAACAATTTGTGAGGTAAATAACGTTGACAATGAATTAGAACATTTGAGAAATGTTCAAAAAACAAATGGTTACCCACGGCATTTCATAGATAATGCTATGAAAACGCCATAAAGTATACAGCAGAAGATTGAGTATCAGTCGTCTGTTTGTCTACCATACATTGGCCCAGCTTCACACAAAATCGAAAGAATTTTGAGGAATGAAGCAGGTATAAAGTTATACCATTCCAGCGAAAACAAATTGTTTCGAGCTCTTTGCACACATAAGGACAATGTAAATGAATCTCAGAAACCTGGTGTGTACCGCATTCCTTGTGAATGTGGTCTGGTTTACATTGGTGAAACTGGTCGAAGTCTCTCAGTACGTCTTAAGGAACACAAGAAGAATTGCGAGAAAGCCGAGCAAGATAAATCTGCTGTGGCTAAACATACTTGGACTCACGACCATCGTATAAAATGGTACGAAGCAACCATTTTGGCGATTGATATAGTCACAAGTTCTCTCGCAAAATGAGAGAGTCAATTGAAATTGAGAAGCACAATACTATAGATCAGGAGGGAAAGCCACTAGATAGTACGTGGCGTGCTCTCTTTAATGTGCAAAATTAATTTCTCTTGTCTTGGATGCGCGCGCGTTAATTGGAATCACTTCACTACGTTTGGAATGACGTGGTTGATGTGCCGTTTAATTAAATTTCAAATGACGCGAGCCAACAGATCACGACACTTTTGTATATAAAAAGAGCGTGTGAATTAAACAAGCCACATATTATTAGCGCTGATGAAGATCCGGGCTTACGGATCGAAAGCTTTGCAGTAATAAATTTACGTGGTGTTTCCACAAACAAGACCTATTATTTTTTATCACCATGCAAACATACAAAGAACTTATTAAATGTTTAATATATTTGACAACTGTTCTGAGAAGAGTTGTAGTCCTGAAACGCGCTAACAAGGGGGGCACTCAAGGGGAGGGGGTTGTAGAGTGCAATACTGTACCAGGGCGGGTGGTGAAACGACCGCGTTGTTTAAGAAGAACCATTTCATTTTCAGATTTGTGATTTCATTTTCATTTTCGAACGATGATTTTCTTAATAACACCACAATAACTTCGAAACGGTTAAAGCAAACGAAAAAATACTCAATGCCATTCTTTATTAACATTAAATTAATGAAATAAAACATCTTAGACATTTCTTGCTTGCCAGGTTTTTTCTTGTTATATTTTTAAAATGGCTGCATGTATCCGAGCATACTTCCATGTCGTTCTGCATTACAGCAAAAGGAAAATTCAACCAAGCAATATAAATGCAAGTCGTTCTCAGCTTGTTTGTATATCCTCTGTAGGATGAGCCAAGCATACTATATTCACTAACGCTCAGGCCATTCCGAATATAAGCCCCCCCCCCGTGTATCAGCCCATGCGCTTATTAATGGACAGGCATTTATTAACGCAGCGACTCGGACTTGAACAGCTCAGACGAGTGACGATGATACATTACAGCATTACAATATGTTAGTAACCAACTTGTTTTATTGTTATATACTGTATGTTTATGTTTCTTTTCATTCACAGTATAGTTTACAGGTATAATAAATATTATTGCTAACATCAAATGTCGTCTGTATATAAGTTCTCCCCCTGAATATAAGCTCTGTATAAACGACATGTATGTATAAACGACATAAAGTCATGCATAAAAAAATGCTTACGAGCGAATATAAAGTCCTGCAGGTTACCAAAGGCTCATGAACCGATAAAAATGCGGCATTTTGCAAGTGCCCTGCCTTGCCATACGTCAATAATGACCATTATTATATGGCTTTTCAAAATTCTCTATTCTGATCGGCTGACAAGCGGTCCGTGGAAACCCATATCCGGACCGTGGTCCGTATTTTCCGTATCTGGACCGGTGTCCGGGATGTCGTTTATCTGGCGGGAAATTTTTGCTTTCAAGCAAACAGAAAAACATTTTGCTTTTTAAATTTCCAATTGTGCTTTACAGATAAAAATTTCAAAGAAGCAAATTGTTTTTGATTGAGCATGCATGCCTACCGTATATTGTTACCCAGTGAAACTGACGGCGACAGCCGACTTAAAAAGCATATCCTCACAGGCTCAGTTCAACCATATAATAAACCGATTATTGACCTCGCTTGTTCGGTCTGTACTGTGAAATATCAGACCTCTGTTGTTTTGCATGGACCTCGCTCCTTCGTCGCTCGGTCTATACTAAAAAACCTCGGTCTGATATTTCACAGAACCAATTAAGGGTGGGTTGACTACAAAATTATTTTTTGTAGTTCGCTATAACTACAGCTACTTCAAATATATGTAGTCAGCTACAACTACTGCTACTTTTGAACAAAGGTAGTTCGCTACTGACTACAGCTACAGCTTAAAAAATGTAGCGAACTATTTCGCTATTTCGCTACGCTATATTTTTAGTGTTACTGTATTTGGAGCATCTACTAACTCAGGCTGAAATGTAACCTATAACAAATCGACTTAGGAGTAGCAACAGTAAACACAAAGCAACATTTTTGTAAGCACTACAGTTTTCAAGAGTGCAAATTGACTATTGAGTATTGATTTTAAGCAAACCGTGTCTCAATATTAAGTTGCTAACAATTTTAGAAAGTACGTAGCGAATAGCGATTTGCTGTTTGAAAAGTAGTCAACTACTTGGTTACTTTTAGGCAAAATGTAGTTCGCTATAACTACAGCTACTACACAAACGCTTCGCAAAATGTTTTAAAGTGTTCTTTATAAAACTAAATTGCCATTAATTAAATGGTTTATCGATAAACTTTGAGTTTGCAATAAAATGATTTCAAATTCTTGCATGCAAATAACTTTGCTTTCTTTTTTATTTAAAAAATTCAATATAATAAGAAAGGTAATCAATATTAAAGATACACTGAAATTATATGCTGTCTTGTTTAGTTGTTTCATATACGCAAAGGCCGTCGGGTTTTAAAGCTATTATAAAATCAATATTTAAAACAAACTTACCTTCGTTAACGTCGGCTCCCTTCTTTTAGCCGGTTCTTTCGCCCTTTCTTTCTGAGAAAGCTTTTGAAATTTACAAAATCTTGCAAAAATGCGAGCAAAAATGAAATATATTTGCAAGAAATTTATCAATAAAGAAATGTTTGCTATTACGCTGTCGTCATGCAGTCGTTATAATGCAAACTTTAAATTGGACCAATCAGTGTCCGCTATTCATGACAGTCCGCCATATTTTTGAGATCAGTGAAGATGACCACCCACCCAACACCCCCAACACTGTTGGTCACCCACGCCCGGGATCATTGATGAACTTTAAACTAAGGCTTTCGTTTCCCCGGGTGTAAATAGCCTGGGGGAATTGGTACCCTCGCACGGCGCTTCGCGCCGTCGGCTCGGGGATTATATGGCAAGCATCACTCCCGGTGAAATGGCGGACTATGATTACCTAAGAATCACGCGTCAACTTATCTTGTACACTTTCGATGTCTTGTAAATTTTAACCTTGTATGCTTTCACTTTTATTGCACTAAAACCGTTCTCGAATGCGCCTGTCAATTTCTTCACAGTAGTCTTCCCAAATATTTGTCCGATGAAATCGAACGTATGTTGCACTTTTCTGTCTTACACCGCAAGACAGTTGCGCTTCGTGGGGACTGTATACTATCAGAACAATACCATCGAAAATAGAACACACACGCGTACTTTAAAACATATTTATTTAAAAACGACTCAAACGATAAAATATATAACAAACAATCCTTCTGGTTTTCTCTCGTGCTTTCAGTCTGACAATCAATTCGAAGTCTCTATTCTTGACATACAATACATATTTCTTACGTCAATCAACTAAATCACCCATTGTTTGGTCTCCTACGGCGTTATCAATAGTATAATGTTACAAATTATTCTACACACTCCCCCCTTTGAGCCTGTAAGGGTCAAACATGACTTGTGTTCTCCAATGTGCATCCAAAGCTGCTGCTCTCCTAGGTCTGTTACTATGGACACAGCTTTCCACCTTACCCTTCTCTCCGTCTTTCTCATTCATTTCCGTCTTTCCTTTCTCATTAATTTTCGTCTTTCCTTTCTGGTTATCATACCCATCCACTTCATTTTCAACTTTATTATCCTTTCTTTCTTCCGTACTGCTTTCGTTCTCATTTAACTCTACAGGATACAATTTCTGAACTGGTCTATTAGATATACTGCATTTCCTTTGGTCATCACTCTCACTTTCGCTCCTCGAACCACTTCATCTTTACCGACAATTAAACTCTCAATCCTACCTAACTTCCAAAATCCTCTCTTAAGGTTCTCGTCAAATACTAAAACTACATCTCCCTTCTTCACTTCTATGATGCTCTCTCAAATTCGTCAAGTATTCTTTTCTCCATCTCTCCCAAAAGTGAACTCGCAGTTTCGCTAGATGCCTAAACCTACGCTTAACCTTTGTCGCATCATTCTCTTCAATTTTGTAACTATTCTCGTCTGAACTTAATTCACAGACATAATACACAACTGCTTTCAAACTAACATCACCAAACTCATGTAATGAACATTTGGGTTTTCCAATTAGATTTCCATACACACGCCTTGGTATCATAATTTGACCTACAAATTCAAGATCATGAACCCAACCTAACCATTGCTTCAAATATTTTCCTTTTAGTTCAGAATCCCAATCGACTTTGTCCAAACACATTGCTTGAAACAACATCTTAATACTTACTACCATTGCGCTAAGAATTCCCAATGGATCAAACAACCCAGCTAATATTCTAAGAATATTGCGTTTGGTTACAGGTTGCGATTTTGCTTTCTCAACTACACCCTGAAACAAAAACTGAAACTCATCAGTTGTACAATTCCAAGCTAACCCAAGGACTTTCTCTGATGTGTCATTTTTGCCTGTCATGCAAAGGGATGACTTAGCAAATGTTTCTTCACATGCCAAGTTTCCTCTATCAGGCTTGATTTCTTCCTTTGATTGGATTTTCTCTAATACAAGTTTACTATTACTGAGCCATTTCCTTAGCTTGAAACCCCCAGAAGCTAAATTGTTACTAGAAGCCTCATATAATGATAATGCATGCTCAGGGGTTTGTTCTCCAGTTACCAGATCATCAACATAAAAGCCGTCCTTCAACTTTCGAGTCAATTCAGGATTACCCTTCGAAAAGCGGTCAAGATGGTGTTGAAGTGTGGCATTCAGCAAAAATGGTGAACAGTTCACACCAAAAACAACTCTACAAAATCTATACTCTACTGGCTTCACCTCATCTTCATGTATGTTACCCACCCAAAGAAACCTCAAACAATCTCTGTCACACGGATCAATTTCAATATTTAAAAAAGCCTTCTCTATATCTGCTACAAGCGCGATTCGCTTTTCTCTAAAACGCAATATAATGTGATACAACAACGGGGATAGAGGTGGCCCAACATGCAAGCAGTCATTTAAAGATACACCCTTCTTAGTCTCTTTACTCGATGCATCATACACAACCCTGACCTTAGTGGTCTTTGCATCTTTACGAACCACAGCATGATGTGGTAGATAATGGATCTTATCAGCTCTCTCTAACTCTACAACTGGTTCTATAATACCCAGCTCTAACTGTTCTTTAATTACTCTATCATACTCTTGTAAAACTTCTGGATCCCTCTTTAATCTTAAAAGCTGTCCCTTTAATCTCTGCACACTACAGCTATAATTAGTTGGCAATAAACTATGCCCTTCCTTCCAAGGTAAACTTACACTATATCGTTGGCCATTGAAATGTATTGAATCATTTAATAACTCACTAGCTTCCTCTTCATGCTTTATACCTAACGTTTCATAATCCCATAATTTTTCAACACATGCTTCAAGGGACCTATTCTTAGATGAAGTTACATGCCCAATAAGGTTTACACTTACCTGTGCACACGATGTAGGACCATCATCATCTTCAGAGCTACTCTTCAGTGGACCTGACAACACCCATCCTAATTTGGTTTGCACCGCAACAGGTTCATCACTCTTGCCCCTAACCGTACGCCCTTCTTGAAATAACCACAAATAATCTGCGCCAATTAGTAACTCTATTTCTAACACATTCTTGGTCATACAAACATCGGAAAACCATAACGCTTGCAAATGTGGGTAATCTTTCTTCCTTGTCTCTACATGCTCATTCCTAATCTGTGAAATGCTGTCTACTCCATAAACTTCAATGCTAACACTCTCTCCCCCCTGTACTGGGGCTACACTCAATTCAAACACTTCTCTCAACTTCCCTTCAACTTTCTCCTGTCCGAACGTTCTGATTTCTACCCATTCCTTCCTCTTTACTGGCACTCCTGCCTTCTGAGCTACCTTGCCCGTTACGAATGACCGTTGACTTCCTGAGTCAAACATAACCCGCACTCTCACATTCTCCTTTCCTCCAATCACCAAAGCCTGAGCTGTCTGCAATGCTACTCTATTTGCTGACCCAACGCACGAATGTGTGGAATGAACGACGAAGTATCTGTTTACGCTCAGCAGCATTCTGAATTTTCTTACAATCTTGTGATAAATGTTCTTGTAAACAATATACGCATATTGGCTTCCCTTCCCTGGTGGTATGATTCACAAGAGCAGCCGCCGATCCATCTAGAAACTGTGATTTCCTTCCTTCTTGTTTTGACGTGTTCGTCGTAGATGATTCGTGTGCTTCGCGTAATTCAATTTCATCTAAAAGTGCCTTTAGAATATCCTTCATCGTCCAATTTAGAAAATCTGATCCACCTGCACTTGACCCACGAGTTATCGTCAAACGAAGGGATTCCGGCAGCTTGTCGAGTATTTCCGGAACAACAATCGTAGCATACGAACTTTCGTCCACTCCCAGGGTTTTCAGACCTCGGCAGTTTGTCTCACAGGCATGGAACAATTCCCGTAGTCGACGCACATCTCGCTCGTTGTATACTGGCTTTATGTTCATTAACGCTTGAATGTGAGCTCTCTGTATCGCCGTTTTCTTCCCATATCGTGTCTTCAGGAGTTCTAATGCTTCTTTATAGTTCGTTGCTGTCAACGTGAACCCTGCGATAGTTGTATGCGCGGGACCAACCAGTAGACCTTCCAAATACGCGAATTTATCTACCTCTGATAGAGCGTCATTCTGATTTACAGAACTATCAAAGGAGTCCCAAAATTCTTGCCACTCTTGAATTTCCCATTAAATCTTTTGACCTCTAACTTTGGGAGCTTTGCGCGAACAGTCTGTTTGGGTGTAGCGTTCATACTCAGATTCGATGGTGTACTTTGACCTTGTGGTAGTAACGGCAAGGCTTCGAACAATGCGTCATTCACGCCGAAAATTATTTTTTTGTAATTCAGCTCGCGTATCATCTGTCTCCTGAATTTCCTTTTCCAGCTGTTGTTCTGCGTCTTCGGCTTCGCTATTACTTAGTATCTCGACAATCTCGTTGTCTAAAAGTTTCAAGGCTTCGAGTTTCTCGCTCAGCGTGTCTCTCAGCTGTTTCAGCACATTCTTGCCCGTCTGAGGAGTTTCACTCGTATTCGCTAAACATTCTTTTATCTTCGTCCCTATCTTAGTTGCTGAACCTCTGTGCGCTGCGCGCGTTCTTCTTTTCTTTGTCAGCTCGTCCAACGGCATTGTCGTATCTATCTATCTCGATTCTTTCTTTCGAAATCTATCCGGTTCGCATGGATCAAGTGTTGCACTTTTCTGTCTTACACCGCAAGACAGTTGCGCTTCGTGGGGACTGTATACTATCAGAACAATACCATCGGAAATAGAACACACACGCGTACTTTAAAACATATTTATTTAAAAACGATTCAAACGATAAAATATATAACAAACAATCCTTCTGGTTTTCTCTCGTGCTTTCAGTCTGAAAATCAATTCGAAGTCTCACATTTCTTACGTCAATCAACTAAATCACCCATTGTTTGGTCTCCTACGGCGTTATCAATAGTATAATGTTACAAATTATTCTACAACGTATACAGTGAAGGACTACACATATCTTTACAAAGGCTGGACTTACATTGAAGAAATATTACCAGAGCGCTTTAAAGAATCATAGTGAACCGTGATGCTTCGCGCGTTATGTGAATGTTTACATATACGGGAAGCTAAATATATGTAGTGTTGTCGTAGCGAAGATAGTCATACGGTAAAAATGATATGCAATAGCTTTATTATAAACAATAAAACTTTAATACATTTACCCGCTGGAGTTTTGATTCTAGCCCCATCGCCTGCTACGTTCACGCAGTTCGTCCATGCTTTGATGGAGCAGGATTTCGGCGAACTCTTACTCGCTATGCGAAAGCCCCTGTATTCCCAGAATTTCTTTACTTTCCATCTAAAGGACGGTTGTTCAAGAATCGTTGGACTTTTCTCCAGGATATTCTTTTTGATATACCCTCACTTGGTGGTCTTCCTCGAACGGGAGATACAGAGGCCATGATCAGCCATCTACTTCATAAAATGAGAAAACTTTCTACAATCATTGGTTAAGATTTAAAAAAAACACGCCAAAATCTTGATCAATGATCTATTAACATATTCCAGCTATGAAAAATATGACATCAGATTGATAAGGATACGCTTCAGATATTAATCTTTCGTCACTGACGTTGCTAATAAGATGGTGGAATACAAAACAAATAAACAATCAAACATTTTAGCGCGCAAAGCATTACGGTAATTGACTGTGATTCCTTAAATTCAACTTATGACTTTGAAGATGCACAGACATGGAAGTCAGTTTGTGTTAAGTGTGGCTCTGCAGTCTGCCCGTAGTCTTCTGTCTCTTCGAATTCCTATGTACTGTTTTTAATGTCAGTATGTCTTAATGTTGTTAAATTAATGTTTGTATGTTTTATTGGTAATTGTAACCGTTAATATTGTTAGTTGATATTTAACTTAATTAATGTATTATAATTGCTCCGCAGTAAATGGCCGTAGGTTTTGCGGTTTCCAAGTCTGTTGAGGCAAAGCGTAATAAATAAAAATAAATAAATCACTTTACACAAGATGGTATAACGAAATAGCAAATAATAACGATCACGGACTGAAATCTTTATCACCAATCGATTAAAAAACAACAAGAACTCTTGAACTGCCTGATTAAGAATCCTTTTAAGGACAGGTCATAGTGTCATCCTGGGCAGTTTATTTAATACACTACCAATGACACCACCATGGTATATATACAGCAACTTGTGGTTACCTCTTGGCAAAAGGGCTCTTTAGGTCAGAGGGCTGTGGTAGAATTGCAGGGCTGCAGGTTCAATTCATGCTGACAGGCTTGTAATTGTATTCCACATGTAGCCATGATATCATTCTAATCAAAATTTGATTTTACTATTTTAGAACTTCATTCAAAAATATTATCGAGCGTAAGAATATATCATTATATTGTGCTAAAGCAAATTGTATTTCCTGCTATAATATACCTTACTTGATAATAAATTATTTTGACTTGAAAAATGTCTTTATTGATTTCTAAGGTTAGTTAAGGACTTTTCTTTACTCCAATACATAGGAGTCATTTTGTCTCCAAAGGAGTCGAATTGACTCAAAAAGTGGAGTAAATAAAAAAGGTACAGAACGACCAGGAACGCCGGAAATCGGAGGGGGCGCAGGGGGCACCCCCCCCCCCTTGCCTTTTAGTAAGGGGGGCAAGGGGCGAAAGTGCCCTTATAGATAAAAATTCTAACCGGCCCAAAAATATGAGGTACAACGATTAAAAAGTATGAATTACGGGTGAAATGTACGTAATATTGAAATATAGGTGAAATTTTCTGGAATATTGTGTCAAAAATTGTGTTTTCAAAATTTTTTGCCCTTGCTTTGGTCAATTAAGGTCCCGGAAAAAAATTCGGGAACGAAATATTAATTAATGATTGCCCTTACGTCAAAATTGCCCCCCCTGTGCCCTACCCTCGCTCCGGCGTCCTTGAGAACGACTCCTTTTTTGGAGTAAATTTTAATCTCTTTTAATAATCTCCAAATTTTGGAGTAATTCTAACTCCTTAAGTGGAGTTGTTTTTACTCCTTGAAGACAAAAAACAACTCTACTTAAGGAGTAAAAATTACTCCAAAAATGGAGTAAAAAAGAGTAAAATTTACTCCAACAAAGGAGTCGTTCTGTACCATTTTTCTTTACTCCACTTTTGGAGTCAATTTGACTCCTCGAAATTAACAGTGATACGGGGTGTGGAGGATATTTTTGGGGAGGTACGAAAAAAAGAACCTCTGAGCGGGGTACGAAAAAAACAACAGAACCTCTATGGGGGTACCAAAATCTTAGTACTTTAAAGGTACGGGAAAAAATTACATTTTATAATTAGTGTTGAATATTGGATGTACTTGTGCCCAGATTTTTAAATATGATAACGAGTGTCAGTATTGATAGTAGCCATGTTTTTGTTTCTCTAAAGCTTTTAATGTATCCTATAATGTACTCTGAGAGCAGTTAACAACTTAAACATGTATAGTGATTGGAGTAAATAAGTAATATATATAGGTACAGTAATTTCAAAGAATTTCTCTATATTCAACGTTATTAGTTCTTTTTACTATAATTATTATTAAATCAACACAAAGTATATATGTTTTAGTCTGACTTAATGTCAGATGATAAGTAGGATTCAGTATCCATGGAACTTTTGGAGTACAAATCTGATACATCTGAATTGTCAATATTCGCAAGCTCACACCGTTAGCACTTGATGAGGAAGTGTCACATTGAATGGAAGCACAGTCATTTTTTCTGTTTGAAATAAAACAAAAACACTTTTTTCTGTTTGTTCTTACTCTCAGCCCATTTCTAGTATGTCAGAAACAGAAACAAAAAAAGACTGGTCATGAATCGGAGACTGCGGAAAATGTTGAGGATATGGTTACCACTACAAGAAGTGGGAGAGCTATTACAAACTGGAGAGTTTCGCAATATAGATAAACGCATGACAAATGTTGAAACACAACTAATGATAGAAGAGGGGGGTATGAAAATTTTTACTTACATTGAAGGGGGTTACGAAAATATTTCCATAGGTTTTTTGTTTTTTTCATAGATTCATTTATCCTCCAGCCTCTCTAGTAATAACCTTATGACCGGTCCCTTATCTGATCATGCACTCAATACGCAGCTAATCATGTCAATTTATCCATGTAAGTATTCGTACACATTAACCCTTAATTATTATATATCTATTTTCTAGTCAATTTAATGGTACTGTATATATGATAATATTACTACAATTGTTATTTTGTGTTATGCACATCTAGTTCAGTCTTATGTAACTGCACTGAAAACAGTGCTGTACATTATTAAACCATTTACCTAACTTTATTAATTTTAACATTTTTTTTCCACTGATCTGAAATCTGTGACTCCGTGTCGATTATCCTTTTAAATTCATTGAGCCAATTTTGAAGCCAAAACATTTTCAGCGAGGCAAGATTTTTTAAAGGCACAGTTCAGCCTTTTGACTAATGATGGTGCTCAAGGCGCATTACGACCCTTTTAATTTGAAAAACTGACTAGGAAAATCAATTAAGCATAATTCAAGATCAGTGGTCTCAATGTTTTTAACATTTTTTAGAGAGGTCACTGCTGCCTATATATGTATAGACAACATTTCTTCTCTCCTATCAATAACTAGAAAATGTTTGAACCTCTTTTAACATGCCAATAGCACCACAGTATATTTGTGATGGTCATGCGCACCAACACGACTGCTATTGGCCTCATTTATGATGCATTATCCAGTCCCAGTTTTGAAATCAGTGTTTTTTTCCGTTCGAAAAAACTCAGATTAGTTCGTGCCCAGACAAACCACATACTGTATCTTACATGAAGTACTCCTTAAGGTCAGGTCGCTCTTTCCAATCACATGACCTGACTATACTGTGCACCTCGACAGGAAGATGGGGAAAGAGGTCAAGGAAGTACTCTTGGGGATCGCCTACTAAATAGAATACTTCTGGTCGCGGCCTTGGACGCTCATGCCAGTGTTCTTTGACATTTCGGATAAGTCGTAAACAGTCCGTCCACGACGATTTATAACGAAATGTTTTCCCCTTGGAAGAATCAGTGGATAAATACTTTAGAACAACTGGTACCAGCAGAGTTGTCCAATCTTTGGGATTGCTGTTCAACTTTCGCACGACATCTGATTTGACATCCCCAATCTTGATTTCCTGTTGGTTTCCCATTTTGCACAACATTTCGAACTTCTGTTTCGCTGACTGGAGATAAGGATGTTTCAGCGCTTCTTCAGCGGACGGTCTTTCTTTGGGGTCGTGGCTCAGCATCCAGTATAATAAATCTTTCAAAGTAGGATCTTTCAGCGTATCCAAGCCAACTGGTTTACCATCAAGCAAGTGTCGGAGTCGGTCAGGTTTTTCTCCAAAAGGATGTTCACCTTTTGTCACAATGTAAAATGCCACAATTCCAGCTACCTAAGTATGACAGAGACAAATTGGTATTATTATCCTTAAAGGTACGAAAAAATATTTTCATACAAATTATGACCAGCACAGAACAACACAAAATTCATGTTCGCCAAAACATTTGATTGGACACAGACATATCATATCATATCTTTAGTTACCGAGTTTCAAAGAATAAGACTATGTGCACACGGTAAAGTTTTCGAGCGTTTCAAGCTGTAAAGTTTTCAAAACGTTTCGTTTCCAAGCCGTGTCCGCACGAAAACGGATGAAAACGACGTCTTATGACGAAAACTTCTGCTTAAAATCAAAATATTATACTCTTGTTTCCTGGAAGCTTAGATCTTTCATTGGATCATTAATTCTTAAGTTAAAAACTTTAGCGACAAATAAAACAAAATATATAGCCTTTCAAGTGTATGATGATTTATGAACGATTTAAAATGTGTTTTGCTTTTGAAGGAGCGACAGACTTCATATCGGTGAGGCTAAAATACATATAAAACTTTTTACTTTACTATAATGAGCAGAGGACATTTTAAGAAACTCGTTGACAAGCAATGACTCCATCTGGTAGAATATAAACGGTGATAAGAAGCCGCGAGAGATGGAATTTTTGTCCAGACAAACATGCATGCCGTGAAAACGTTTCCGTGTGGACAGAGCGCCAAACTGACAAAATTTGAAACGACATATTAGAAACGCTCGGAAACGTTACCGTTTGCACATAGTCCAATGCTGACTTGAGCATTATTTTCAAAGGCTGAGATTTACAGTATTGTAGCCTACAACCTGTAGTTTAAAAATACATCGTTGGGAATAATTAGGTGTTATGTTGTTTATTATGCATTCCATATAAATTATTGCTATGGCTAAATCCCACAGTTTTTGTCGCATCTCCGCCGCCTTGTTTTGAAAGCAATGTAAAACCTATAATCACACTGTATACTTTTATTCGTGTTAATTTTTAAAAACCTACCTGAATATCGGATTCTTTCTTGTAGCGTACTTTCCCACCATCAGTCATGCCGTTCGAAGGGTATGATGACTCAACAGCTCTCCAATCTTCTGTTCCCCTCTGGTTGCTTGGATGGGTACTGGCACAACCTGTCAGGATTCGACTGATGCCAAAATCTGCCAGCAACCATTTATCGTGGACGTTGCGCAAAATGTTGGATGGTTTTAAATCCCGATGCAAAATGGGCACTGGATCGCAATGGAGATCAGCTAATCCTTTCAAAAGTTGCTGAATGATATCTGGCGCATCTGCTACCAAATCATCTAAACTGCTACGAGCAACAAAATATTCCAACGTTTCCTCACATAAATCCAAGATTAAAAATAAGTAGTGCTTGTCGCTTTGTTCGTCTAAGAACCAATAACTAACCACATAGTTTGACTTGGTTGTGTTGAGTTTGTTCAAAACGTTCTTTTCTTGTTCAGCCAAGCCAGCGCAGGCATCTCTGGGCAAACGTTTCACAGCCCTCTCGTATCCGTCTTTCCCTAATCCTACATAGACTCGAGTGCCATCACCTCCCATGCCAATGAGAAATTCTTCAGAGCAGCAAACGCGAACTCCGTTAACTTCTTTGATATCTTCCGGATGGTCTTTTCCATATTCGAGAAGCTTAGTGAACCTCTCCCGATGAACGATCGAACTCTTTTCCCACTTCCACGATTCTGGACTGTCTACAAAGGAGACAACACGAGACAAAGTCCTTAATAAACCAGTTCGAGTATGGTACAGTATGTATGTTAAACATTCTATCAATAATATGTGCGAGAAATATAATTATATAGGAATGATGAATACGAAATAACTACCTCTCCTCTCAGTTTCTTTTTCAGCAAGCTCTTGAGCTTCTTGAATTGACTTAATCGCCTTTTTTTGCCAGAAGTTGTCATTGAGCTGTCTGAAAATATCCAATGCCTTTCTAAACCATTTTACCGACATCTCGTAATTGCAATGTTCACGACAAACTGACGCCAAAGTAAAATACACTGTTCCTAAGTGTTGAACTATCCTCGTGCGCATTTCTTCATCTTCCAAATCGTCACTAATATTTAATGTTTTTTGGTAAAATTCAATGGCTTTCTCAGGTTGCTTCAACTGTCGAAACGCATTCCCGAGCATAAGGCAGGCGTTGGCTTCTTCTTTTAACTCACCAAGTTCATGAGATATTTTTTTAACTTCGAGATATTTTTTGGCAGCTTCATCAAACTTATAACTGTTGTAGTACACAGCTCCTAGGTTTGTGTATGCTTCTTTTTGGCGGGCTTTGTTATTGATCTTTTCTGCTACTGTGAGAGCTTTCAAGAAATATAATCGTGAGGACTGAAAATCATTAGTATAACTAAATGCACTTCCAAGTCCCAAGTAAGCGTTGATTTTCCTCTTTTTGTCTCCAATATTGGACGCTAGCTTTACCACTATGCTGTAATATTTTATGGATTTTTGATACTGGGCAGCTTGCAGGTGGTTGTAACCTAGCCATTGATACGCTACTACTTCCAATTCATTACCCTCGAGGTCTGGAGATGTTTCACGCGCCTTCTGATAATACTCGATTGCTTTCTTGTACTCAGCAGTTCTAGTAAATACGTTTCCAATATCTTGACAAGCTTTTGCTTTGATGACATTGCGATGTGCTTCATCCGAGATTTGAACATCTTGTTCGTAGACTTTGATGACTTCTTTTATTTTACTGTTGTTTTGACAAGAACGCTCCAAGGTCAATAACTGTTCTCCTGAAATTGTTTCTTCAAAAGCATTTACATATTCCGGCACAATGTCCACGCGTTCAACATGATCTACACTGTCACCTAACCATTGAAAGGCTTCTGCTTCCATCTCATCTGCTTCAAGGTCGGGAAATATTTCACGTGCCTTCTTATAGTACTCAATTGCTCTCTCATATTCAGAAATTTCAGTACATATGTTTCCCAAATGTTGATAAGCTTTTGCTTTGGTGTCATTCCGATGAGTTTCATCCGCAATTTGAACAGCTTGTTCGTAGTGTTTGATGGCTTCTTCAATTTTCTCATTTTTCTGACAAGAACGTCCCAAGATCAATAATTGTTCTGCTGAAATTCTTATTTCATTAAGTATATTTTCATATTTCAGATCAATATCTACGCGTGTAACATTACGAACATCTTGATACGCTTCTACGTCAACATCATCTGCCTCGAGGTATAGAGAAATTTGACGTGCCTTCTCATAACACTCAATTGCTTTGTTGTATTCGAAAGTTGAACAAAATATATTTTCCAAATGTTGATAAGCTTTTGTTTTGATGTCATTACGATGTGTTTTAATCGCAACTTGAACAGCTTGTTCGTAGTTTTTGATGGCTTCTTCAATTTTACCATTTCTTTGACAAGAACGTCCCAAGATCAATAATCGTTCTGCTGAAATTCTTTCTTCATCACGTGTATTTTCGTATTTGTGTTCAATGTCCACACGTTCAAAATTATGAACAGTACGATACATTTCTACATCCAAATCATCTGACTCGACGTCTGGGGATATTTCACGTGCCTTCTCAAAGTACTCAATTGCTTTCTTGTATTCGAAAATTCCACAAAATACGTTTTCCAAATGTCGATATGCTTTTGCTTTGATATCATTGCGATGTGTTTCATCCGCAATTTGAACAGCTTGTTCATAGTTTGTGATGGCGTCTACAATTTTACCATTGTTTTGGCAAGAACGTCCCAAGATTAGTAATTGTTCCACTGAAATTCTTTCTTTATCAAGTATATTTTCATACTTATGCTCAATGTTCACGCGTTCAACATTATCAACAGTTTCACCTAACCGTTGATATGCTTCTCCTTCCAAATCATCTTCTTCAAGGTCTGGAGATATGTCGCGTGCCCTCTTATAATACTCAATTGCTTTCTTATATTCAGAAGTGCCAGTACATATGTTTCCCAAATGTTGATAAGCTTTTGCTTTGATGTCATTCCGATAAGTTTCATTCGCAATTTGAACAGCTTGTTCGTAGTGTGTGATAGCTTCTTCAATATTACCATTATTTTGACAAGAACGTGCCAAGATCAATAATTGTTCTACTGAAATTCTTTCTTCATCAAGTACATTTTCATACCTATGCTCAATGTCCACGCGTTCCGCATTATCAATAGTTTCACGCAACCGTTGATATGCTTCTACTTCTAAATCATCGGCTTCAAGATCTGGAGATATTTTACGCGCCTTCTTATAATACTCGATTGCTTTCTTATATTCAGACGCTCTGCTAAATACGCTTCCCAAATGTTGATAAGCTTTTGCTTTGATGTCATTGCGATGAGTTTCATGCGCAATTTGAACAGCTTGTTCGTAGTTTTTGATGGCTTCTTCAATTTTACCATTGTTTTGACAAGAACACCCCAAGATCAATAATTGTTCTAGTGAAATTCTTTCTTCATCAAGTATATTTTCATAATTATGCTCAATGTCCACGCGTTCAACATTATCAACAGTTTCACCTAACCGTTGATATGCTTCTACTTCCAAATCATCGGCTTCAAGGTCTGGAGATATTTCACGTGCCTTCTTATAATACTCGACTGCTTTCTTATATTCAGAAGTGCCAGTACATATGTTTCCCAAATGTTGATAAGCTCTTGCTTTGATGTCAGTCCGATGAGTTTCATCCGCAATTTGAACAGCTTGTTCGTAGTTTTCGATGGCTTCTTCAATTTTACCATTGTTTTGACAAGAACGTGCCAAGATCAATAATTGTTCTACTGAAATTCTTTCTTCATCAAGTACATTTTCATACTTATGCTCAATGTCCACGCGTTCCGCATTACCAATAGTTTCACGCAACCGTTGATATGCTTCTACTTCTAAATCATCGGCTTCAAGATCTGGAGATATTTCACGTGCCTTCTTATAATACTCGACTGCTTTCTTATATTCAGAAGTGCCAGTACATATGTTTCCCAAATGTTGATAAGCTTTTGCTTTGATGTCATTCCGATGAGTTTCATCCGCAATTTGAACAGCTTGTTCGTAGTTTTCGATGGCTTCTTCAATTTTACCATTGTTTTGACAAGAACGCCCCAAGATCAATAACCGTTCTAGTGAAATTCTTTCTTCATCAAGTATATTTTCATAATTATGCTCAATATCTAGGTGTTCAACATTACGAACCTTTTGATAAGCGTCCACTTCCAAATCATCTGAGTCTGACTCGAGGTCTGCAGATATTTCACGTGCCTTTTTATAATACTCAATTGCTTTCTTGTATTCGAAAATTCCACAAAATACGTCTTCCAAATGTTGATACGCTTTTGCTTTGATGTCATTGCGATGTGTTTCATCCGCAATTTGAACAGCTTGTTCGTAGTTTGTGATAGCTTCTTCAATATTACCATTGTTTTGACAAGAACGTCCCAAGATCAATAACTGCTCCGCGGAAACTCTTGTTCCTATAGTAACGGGGTAATTAAATTTAACATGACGTTATTTCAGAAATAGAAAACGAGCTACGTGCTTTTATGGGGTTATAATGTACGATGGAAATGTTGGAAGAACGCTTACAACATGCGTTCATCGCATTATAACTACACGAGTTTTTCTTTCATTATATGAGAATACGACATAAAAACGTGCAGCCAATTATTTATCTACAACATCAATATTGAAATTCGTTTTAATCTGTTTCAGTGACGGCACTGGTAATGTAGAGAAACAATCTTGAATTTTGCCGAAAACGAGCATGTCAACAGTCAATTGTAATTTCAAGTGGATATTATACTTCAATACAATAATAAACAGACTAAGTTGCGGTAGTTTTTCTTATATTAGAGCGGCACAGATTTTGATTTTGACGTTATAATATCGAACCAAAAGATTAAAAAGTAACCCCATTCTAAATTATATAAGTCGAAAGATTATATCGTAGAATACGTTATTTTAACGTAATGATAATAATAATATTTTTTTTAAATAATAGTAATAATAATCTTACCGATAGTCGAATTTGCTGAGATCGTATGATCACGAGAGTGATTGAAATTTTTTAATCGAGTTAGTGCTACCATTTTCATGTGGTCATATCCATTCACATCCTCAAGTATATTTAGAGCTTTTGCATAGTATTTCATCGCTGTCTGATCTTGTTCAATGGAATCATAGATGTCGCCTAACTCAATGGATATTTCTGCGCTATGATGCTTGTCGGCCAGTTCTTTGGCAACTCTCAAGGCTTCTTCATAGTAAGGGATCGCCAGTTCGATCTGATTCTTAAATCGATAAGCATGCGCTAACCCAATGTGTGCTTCTAATTCTTGGGGTGACGGTGTATTTTTCCGTTTTCCTGTAAATTCCAAGACTGTCTCATAGTGTTTAATTGCAAGTGGAATCTGATTGTTCAATCTACATTCATGTCCAAGCTGAATGTATGCATACAGCTGTTTATTCTCGTGTTCTTTTGCATTTTCCCGGGTTTCTTCGAAGCATTAATTGCGTTGCCATTTGATTATCTGTCATTGTGCTCCTAATTTCAGATCCTCTCTTGTAGTATTGCTCTGCCATACGAATCTCATTTTTCAATTTATAGACATCTCCCAACCCTAATAATGCCATATTTCGCTCTTTATTTTCTCGTTCGTTTGCACTTTTCAACACTTTCTCAAAATAGTCAATTGCCACTCTAAACTTTTTTTTCAACTTATAAGCAAATCCTAGCCCAAGGTAAGCTTGTATTTCTTGCTGTTCATTCTCATGTTCTTTTGCAATTTCTAAGCCTTTCTTATAATGATTAATTGCCGTTTGAAATTGTTGATTCGATTTATAAGTATCCCCTAAACCAATATTTGCTTTCATTATATATGTGTTTTCGTTCAATTCCTTTGCCAATTTCAAAGCTGTCGAATAATTTTCAATTGCATGTTGAATCTGACCGCGTTCTTTATAAGAACGCCCGATCTGAAGGCACGCTTCTAATTTTTGCTTATTTTTATCGGTTTTTCTATCCATAATAATAGTGTAGTTCAGTAAACTGCCGTTTTGTTTTGACCAAAAGCCGTCTTAACCACGTTATGCTTTTCGTAACTGTGTTGTCTCAAAATCTATCAAATAAATTTATATTCAGCTCATGCCTTTTCTTGAAACTTTGTCCCACATGTCTTATCGCCCTTTTCGTGCACTTTTGATTCTTTAGTTAACCAACTTCTTTCTCCAAAATTTTCGGGTTAAAGATTTTTTCATTTAGGATCTGTACACTTCTCTTTTACAGTTTAAATGTGTCACTGCGACAACTAATTGTTCCGTTAAATTAGAAGAGACCTTCGACAATAATCAGTAATTGTTAGTTTCGAATGTGCGATGAGAATTCAACGTGTTCCTGATTCCTTATATCTTTCACCTCTTTCCCAATATATTGAGACCCACACCAGCAAGTGCAGTTGCCACCCCAAAGCTGAAACCAGGTAACTATGCGCAGTAAAGTATTTCTTTCTGCTTGTGGTAATTTCACAGAACAACGTGATTGATTATATATATACTGTATATATCCCTTGGCTACAGAAATCTTGCTTCGTAAAAAGTTTGTTCCAGGTTGATAAAATAGAGGTAAAAATGCTTTTCCGTATACGAATCTACACAGAAGAAATATTAGAGAGAAATAAGTGAAATTTGAGCCCATGAACACAGCATTTTGTGTCAGTGGGCTCCTGGCTGTTGGGACATGTGTGGAAAAGACCAGTGTGAAATGTTTTAAAATGTAAAAGAAAGAAAAGTTCTCGTTAGATGGATTTTATGATGGATTTGGAAATTTCAGCCATCATGAATAGACAACTTGCATGTTATACTAATTTTTTATTTAGGAAAAAAAAGGTAAATTCCCAGAAAAGAACTTATTAAAATCAGTAAAATTGCAAAATTTGGTTGCGAAATGTTGTAAAATGCAGAAAATATAGCCTTGCGAAGTTTGCATATTTTCAGTATATTTGCATTACGTGCGGTAATTGTTACCATTTTTGAGCCGAAAATGGTAACAATTTCCGTACGTAATACAAATATACTGAAAATATGTAAACTTCGCAAGGCTACATTTTCTGCATTTTACAACATTTCGCAACCGCATTTTGCAATTTTGCTAATTTCATTATTTTCTTTTTAACTGTTGTGTTTTATTCCCTTCTCCGTTTACTTAGATTAAAATTTAGTCTAACATGCAAGTTACCCATTGTCATCTTGTATATCCCATGGCCAGAAATGACGGACATTGTGCAAGCGTACCAGTCGGTCAGCGGCTTTTCCGTTTATCCACAAGAATTCCTAATTATCCTTTTACGACCTATCAAAGCATCCGGAATTTCAAATATTCGCGTGGGTGTTGTTTATAAAGCAAATCATGAAGTATGCACTCAAGTTGTGGCCTTTGGTTTACCAGGCTCAGGGTGTAGCTAAGCAATGACTACGGGAACGAAAAGAGAAGCTTTCGACGAGTATTTTGGTACCAAACATGTAGCAAGGCAATCAATATATATAGTTTGGCAAGCGAATGGAATATCACTTTTTGACCGCGAAGTAATATTGTAATATGCATATTAACGCACCGGCTTGCGAATTTCAAAACAAAAAAGCAGAGCTTTTATCGGGTGTAACAAAATAATATACGGCGGAAGGCAAGGCTATACTATTCGTCAAAATAAAATGATTTCAACAAATTTCGATAATTGAATATATTACGAGATATAGCCTTTTGAGCGAGAAACCTTTATAGATTCCTATGTAAAGTGAGGTAAAATGTTGTAATATTCAATCGCAAAAAGCAGAGCGAGTATGCAAAGAAATGAGAACTTTTTTTCTTAATGTGTTACTATACCACCCATACTTCTGGAGCCAATTTCAACAAATATTCAAAGATTTATATATAGCATGCTATATTGAAAATACTCTGCTCGCCCGATAATAAACATAGGGCATTGCGCAGCCATTGTTGCGTGGGTGCTCGTGGTAACGTGAAACCTGAGAAATGAAAATGTCCGTGATTTCTGGCCATGCGCGCAAAAACTCAAAATTTCCCGCAAATTGATTATATATACCACTGACGAACAATAATTAACTGATTCTGCGCTGGGAACATAGGCCTAATATAACATAGTCGTATGACTGCAAGCTTCAAAACAATAATTTTGGTGAGGAAATTGACAACAATCTTGCCGAGTTATGGCTATTAATTCGAAGCTCTTTGCCGGACGCGGATGAAAAAGGTAACGAAGCAGCAGAAACCTCATGCTTGCCAGAACTAGCTTTCATGTTAAAATTGGTATTGTATATGTCGTGCAACGAGGTTTTCTTGCAGGGAGGGATGTGAAATTTGATGTTCAATTGTGGCTAATTTACAGCGATTGCATATTGGAGCAAACGCTGTTTCAAAACAAGGGTGATGAAGTTGTAAAAAATTATAAAGTGCATTACAAAATCTTGAATTTTTAAATGCAAGAAAATAACATTAGAAAACACGGAAATTGCTCCTCCGAGGCATTAATAAACAAACAAATTTATAGTCATTGTTATTAAATGTCCATAAATAGAAACCTAAAGTATTCCTTTATCACAATTAATATTCCGCAGTATAAGATCGAGACTGGTTGCGAGTAGTAAAAGATTGGGTAAATGAAAAACAAAACAACTCAAGGTTTGGGTAATAAATATTTAGACCATGACTCACACAAATATTGAGGAGTATAAAAAGCAATGCCAACAGTCGTATGTCAATACAATATGTGAATCAATCAGAGTCACTATCTTGATCTTTTCCCGATTTGCGAGGAGGCAAATAGAGTGTGAAATACTCAAATAAGTGCCTCCAAAGAAAGTGCATGTGCAGACAACATGAAATTTTATGCTGCAGAAACTTTCACAAGTAGTTATCAAAATCATGTAAAGGACATGTGTGACAACTGAATGGTATCTTTTTGTAAACTGTTTGGCCAGGGGTGGTGCATTTATTTTCTATTTAATATTTCACATTGGGCAAAAAAGTATTTGACTTTCTAATTGTTGAATAAGCAAAATTATTATCACGAAAAACATTTTTCTACTGTGTCACTCCTACCCCCACCCCCACCCCACCCCTATAAATAATGACCGGTCCCTAACTTAGTAATGATATCAATATGATCGAATTTTTCGTCAGATGTATTCTGGCATTACTATACTTTGGTTAGAGATTTACTAGAATGAATCACTTATCGGACAGATAACAGTTGATTTAGATCACTTCAAAACCTGCATGGTTCACACCAGAGATTTTGTTAGGATTTTCTGTTCCTGACAGATGCGAACGAGTGAACTCGCTGCCAAAGCTATGGAATCACATTTTGGAAAAGTCTTTCGCATGTCACTCCATCAGTCACATCCGATAGGGGAGGAAATATCGGCAACAAAATGTTAGTGTGAGCACAATAATTTAACTAGAAGATACATGCACACAGACACCCTCGCTTTTCTGACAAAACGAAGTATTTAAAGTAGTTGTCATGGTAACACGATAATTTTATTAAGAATTATCATTTAACAATTATTCGCATAAGGCGAGATGATTATCGAGGAATATTCGCCGAGATGAAGTCGAGGTGAATATTCCCCGATAATCACCGAGCTTGAGGCGAATAATTGTTTTAGTATTGTTAATTTAATTAAACAAGTCTTTTGTGTTTTTGGGACTGAATATATTTTAATTTCGCTTATTTCTTTATCAGTAACTTCCACAAAACGACTAGCCATTTGGAAAATTTCTGTTTTGTCAATTCACCTGTAGGTGAATATAACAGCTTAATACGTCAAATTTGACCAATCAACGTGTAGGATTTGTTATGTTCACTTGTGCAAAAATACTAAATATATATGTTATATAGGTATGTTATTGTAAGTAAAATGTAAATTTCAACCACAAACGTTTCGCAAAACGTTTTAAAATGTTCTTTATAAAAAACATTGAGTTTGAAACAAAATTATTTCAAATTCTCGGATTCAAATAACTTTGCTTTCTTCTTTATTTAATAAAAATTTTAATATAATAGAAAAAAAATCAATAAATAAGGCGATACGCAGTAAATAAAATGACATAATTATTATAAAACCGTGTTATTATTAAAAGTTACTTTTGTAATCAGTTAACCTCCATATATTAATTAACTTCGTTTTAAGTAACAGAACAACAATCTTTATTTAATAGCTGTTTTTTTAGACTTGTTAGGGTTTAGGATTAGGATTAGAGTTATATAACAAACATATTTGCAGGGAGGTGATCATGAGTCAGGGATTGGACGCACCGAGGGTGGCTGGAAGTTTCCCGTTTAGCGTTGTTATTGGAACGTAAGCAGTTTCGCGGGTGAGTTCGACGAAAGACAGGTGAGATCGGGCAAAAAGCAGGTGATCTCGACGACAAGCTCACCTGCTCTAAACCAATCAGAAAGCCGCTTTTAACGCAGGTATGGGATAAGGGTTAGGATAACATCATTTTAATGACTGCGTATCCAAGTCTTCCCGTCATTGAATTACAATAGTTACCCATTCTCCTCTTAATTTGAAACACTAAACTACTCGAATAATTACTAACTTCTATTATATTTAACCGAACGCGAGGTCTGTAGAGAGAAATATTGGACTGAGGTCTTTTTTGTACAGACCGAGCCCGTAGGGCGAGGTTTGTACAAAAAGACCAAGGTCCGATATTTCTCTGTACATATCGAGCAAGCGAGGTTAATAAAAAGTTTATTATATGGCATTTATAGGCATTTATACTTGAAGCAAGCAAGAAATGCATGATTTGAATGCACATTAGTACAGTGGTAGACATTTGGTCGAAGAAAACAAAAATACCAATGTATTCCTTCTTTTCCACTAAAAATCATTCGCAGATATCTAATTAATAACAAATTAAATTACAAATTTCAAATTTGCAATTAGTTTTGCTGTTTTGTTTTAAAATGCATGCGTATGTTTTAATAATGCACCGCTGAAAGTGCTTCTCAGCCAATCACAGTCCGCGATTTTACCGGAAGTGATGCTTGCCATATAATAAGTCATTTTAATGACTGCGTATCCCCCTATCAATAAAATTTAATAGCTATACCCATTAGAGGTGTACAAATTTGATCCGAATCCGATCCGTTCGGATTTCGGAACAGAATATATTTATTTGGTTAAATATTCAGTCCACTTGCATGAATGAGAAATTTATTTTACTGATTAAAGGATTCTTCGGATCGGATCGGAATTGTTTACCAAAACTCGGATTCGGATTAGACAATTTCGGATCGGATTGGATGTTAACTATTAGCCAATTGTCGTATAATAAACGTCCAACCCGATCCGATTCACACCACTACTACTCGTTCTCGCTCCTCTTAATATTAGACAAAGTACTCGAATAATTACGTGACTGTGTATCCAAATACCCCCGTATCATTGAACTATAATAGTCACCCATTCTCCTCTTAATTTGAAACATTGAACTATTCGAATAATTACGTTATTTTAATGTATGCGTGTATTCCCGTATCATCCCCGAGCCAACTGCGCCATTTCGGGCGCAAGCCTGGGCGAGGGTACAAATTCCGCACGGCTATTTACACCCGCCCCGGGAAAGGAAGGCTGCTAGCGGTTTCAAAGTGGGGGTAGTGGGTGGTCATCTCACTGATCACAAAATATGGCCGACCGCCAGGATTGGAATGATCGAACTGCCAAAATTTCAGTTGAAAACATGTGGACAAGTCGTTTCATACAATGACTAAAAAAAGACCGTAAGTTAAATTTATGGTTGAAAGTCGGCAAAAACTGCTAAGCAATTAAATAATATATAAACAATATATAAATATAAAGTTAAATGAACATTTCGTGAAGCGTTCAACTTGAATATCGCCTTAAATTCAAGCTTATAGACTAAAAAATAATATACCTACTTTGTATGTTTCAGAAATTGATAGTTCAGTAGTTACAAAAGTTAAACTTCATTAATATTTTTTTGCCGCTTTGCACAAAAAATGAAAAATTAAAAACAACTTGAATGATCTGCATTTGTGTTGCCGTGGCTAACATGACGCGAGCAACGCGAGCTTGCGTTCAGTGGTTGCGTAATAAAGGAATACCGAATGATTTTCCGTGCAGGATTGCGTGATCCATGCACGCGGGATGTTGCGAGACTTTCGGAAAGCGTGAAAAGACACGAGCCGTAGGCGAGTGTATTTTTACGCTTTCCGAAAGTCGAGCAACATCCCAAGTGCATGGATCATGCTATCCTGCACGGAAAACCATTCGGTAATTGTTTTATAAAATTACTTCAGTGAAACGACGGTTAACTTGATTAAAATTACTAATGAAATGTGCAGTTCTCACAACAATCGTGAATTAACCAATCGGAGTATCGCTACTCCACGCTATTGAAAACAACAACAAATGTGAACAGAATTTGATCGCAAATTCGCGAAAATATACAGCGAAAATACAGAGACTTTTTCTATAAAATATACAAAATTCGAAATGGAAAACCCGCTAAACAGAGAGCCAAAGCAGTTTTGAAGATTCTCGACCTGAATACTTGAAGATTGCGAAGCGTTTGAACTTTGAAGCGAGAGATGGCGGTGTACTTGCCATGGTCTGATGAATTTCAACGCTACGCGTTGCTACTTGCTGAACAGCAATGAATCGATCAAATTTATTCATACAACTAAACCAACGACTCAATAATTGCAAACCTACTTCAAAGTGGAAAGGTATGGTACAATGAAACTTTACAATGCGAGTATATTTGTAAAATTATGTGCAAGAATTTCTGTTCAGAATTTCCCGTGCAGGATTGTCTGATCCTGCACGGCTGTTGGCCAATCAAATT